TTTATATATAAATATATTTATTTCAATTGGCTATAATATAATTCATACAATAAGAGCATATTTATAATTTTTCTCAAAATTATATATATAATTTTATACAATAAGATAAGTCTTTAAAAAAATTTAAAGGAAGATGAAACTTAAATTTAAAGGGGAATAAAAATGATTCTTTAAATATTTATAAATGCTTTGTATGTAATTTTTAAAATGGCCTGCATATATGTTATGCTAAGTCAAATTTGAGATATTAATTGACATTTATTTAAAAGCCGATAAAAATGCGTATAATCTCGATTTTAAGTTTGAAAAATCGATTGAACAAATACATATATATATATGTATATGTAGTAAAACGTATGTCATGTGCTTCTCTCCCTTATTGATCAACTGTCATGTCCGCATCTACTTTTTCAGCAAAATTTGTTATACAATAAATTAGGCGCGAAAACGCATTTCACTCACTCTACAAAGCGGATAGGTGTGAAGAATTTTTACAACATCATCCTTTCTAACTTCAGTCATTATATTGTTATTTTATATTTATATAAAGCGAATCGCACCCTTGATGATGCTTATACGAGTACTCCGCACAATGGAATGGTTGCGATATCTCAGGCGCAAGTCAGTGAGTCATATCATATGATATGGGAGAACAGATTGTGTTGATTATAAGTAAAGAGAAAACTTCATATTAAAATTTGATGAAAATATTCCTTACCTTTTTCGCTATATGAAAATTTTGACCATTATTTTTAGCTTTAGTGTATGTATGAATTGTAATACAGAAAGTGTTCACTTATAGAATTGCAAAAATGTTTTAATGAGTTATATATGTGCCTCGAAAGTAATGAAAAGGTTATATACAGTATCTTTGATTATAATGACACGCATATTATGACACATTAAAATATTTATTATAATACTGAGAATTTTTTGATGCGTTTTATGTTTAATGTTGTTGAATGACCTTACAGAAAATAAAATTTATTATAGATAGAGAATATTAATAACTTCTGAGCCTATCTTTCTTAAATTTTTTTTTTTTTATATATAAAGAAAAAGTAA